ATAAATTGCCGTGAAAGTTTTCAACTTTGAATATTCCCGTAATTTAGCAACCCAAATCACAGAGTGGAAAGAGATTATCAGACAGCTACAGAACAAATGAAAGCCAATATCACCATTGGGACATAAACAAAAACAGGTCATGAGCAGAACGGGGGGGGGGGGGGGGGGATCTTTTGTACGAGAGAGCAGTGAAATATTGTCCTGCTCTACAGAGTGTTTATCGTTTATCAACCGGGAAAAGGAAGCAGTGGTAGTGGAAATCTAGACTTCCAGCTCGCTTCCTGCCAAGGACAGGAAACGCAACGTTGATTCAGACCTCCCATGCTGGTTAGCTGCTTTCAGCCATTGTTGCTATAATCCTTAAAGACTGAGATGTCCACACTGTCTACCCTGTCTCCTATGAAACCGTGTTCCCACAATTAAACTGCATTTTTATTTTATTTTGAGGGATTGCACCTGCAGTTGAAAATTTGGTTAATTGGGGATTTGAACAAAACAAAAGACAAACTGCATCATCATGGTTTGGCCTTACATAAGTAGGTTTGCATTGCATCAAATTAACATTAAACAACATTAACTTCTTGTTTCACATGAGGATTAAAAAATAGAGGCCTCTTGTGGGGAAGTCCTGTGTTGACCAACCAATCCATCCCAGGCTCCTGGGGGGGTTTCCGTTGTTTTAACAGCCAATTATTCCCAAACTCTGATTGGTCTATTGGTCAAAATAGAATATTGCTATGGTAACAGATGTCATCGGATCTTTTTTCTTTTTCCTTATTCTACAGAATCTTCCACTCACTACCTGTTGCCTTGGCTGGTCAGGATGATGCGCAAGAAGTGAGTTTGTTCAGTGAGGATGGAGGGGTCAGCCATCCGCTGGCAGAGGATGGAGGGTCATGAATGCAATGGTAGGAATGTTGCTTGTAGGAATGGTTGGAATGTCTTGCTGCAGCTAGGCCTCACTATCTGAAATTGAGTGCAATAATTTTTGGTGCTCAGTCGTTCAACCTGAACAACTGTCGGTTCCTCCGGACTGCTCGTTCCCCTCTTTGGCCGGGAGGAACGCAGGACGGCGGTCCGGGGACGGCAGTCCGGGGACGTCGCCCAGCGTTCCTCCCGGCCAGCCGATTGCTGGTGGAACTGGGCCGCCCCATCTCTCTCTGCAGCCACGGAGCACGTCTCCCTGCCGGCGGTCAAAGCTCCCTTTGCACAATTTTTTTTGTTTTATTTATATTAGGATTTTTAAGATCTAAAGTCTAACTATTCTGACGAATAAAACGTTATTTGTTCTTTGAACGAGCGTACTTGTATTACTAAGCTATTATATTGTCATTATGTTATCAGTGACATAAAATGGTCTGCAAATTGCAGTAATATTGCATATCGCAATAAATGTTGGTGCAATAATCGCGCAAACAGGCTTTCAGTCCAAATGGGCCGTTTGAGGACTTATAGACTTTTTCCTTACAGAAAAACAGCATGACATCAGCCTCCTCTGTATCTACATTTTAGCAGATAATGATTAGAAATGTATTTGTTAAATACCGACAATAGGTTTCCAAGGAAACACAACTGACAGTACCATTTTGCTGCCATGCTGATGAAGAGAACCCTAAAAATGCACTCCATGGGTTCCCTCTTCCACAGCACCGGTGGAATGGAAGCTAACCCTAACCCTATAAAAAAGGTGTGTCATCCACACTGGGACCAAAAATACAAAACACCAAAAATACAGATAAGACAATTCAATATCTGGCTTCACCTATTCAGAACATGGTGGTATGCAATGACATGGTATTGTTTGGTTTAAACAAAATGGCTAACTCTGCTTGCCAACATTTAATTTGCTATTTCTTCTTGTATTTCTCTTTCATCATACTTTCCTGTATTATCTGCTCTCGTTTGAAGACAGTGACAGTCTTTGACAGTATTGAGTGTCTTTATGCAACGGGAAACTACAGCTTTGGGCGCGCAGGGATTTGAAAGTAACGTGAAAAACGCTTTGAAAACATGCGTATTTACATTTAGTAAATGGAGTCTGTGTTTCTTTCTCCTACTGCAAAAATGTTCCGTCCAAGCTGGTATTTGAGCATAAAGTGTTTAATCATTGGAGGGGTGAATAAGTGCTGCTGGGCGTGTGTGTGTGTGTGTGTGACACTCAGCACTTGGGTACAAACATCTATACAATGCATAGAATGACAGTGACTTGTTAGTATAGATTGGATCTTGGAACTGTTACATCTGTAGTTATAATTTTCTGGAGGGCGTGGGGGAGTCAGACGGAGAGGTCGGGGACGGAGACGAGGAGACGGGCGAGCCAGCACAGGCTCCTCTCTGCCCCACCCCACCCAGTAGGACACCTATTGTTTCCCCCCAACCCCTAAACAAAGCCTGGCCCCCCAACCACACCCCCAAAACCTAACCCTCCCTTTCCCCACTTCCCACCCATTGCCCCTTGCATCCCCCATCCTCACACAGCATTGTTGCACTAATAAACCCGGCTCCACTCCCTAAATTTCATTACATACGAGCTCAAGCTCTCCCTTCTGCTCCTTATAAGTTTTTATCTGCTTTTGAAAAAAATATTCTGAATTGATCCTGTATTAGTTTGGCCACGTGGTAGACACTGCCAGGTGAAAAATAAAAATTGGTGTAACAAAGATTAGGCCTATGTTTGCAAAAAAAGACAGGAATTCTACACTGTACTGCATTCAGTCATTTGTAATTGACACCTCAATAACTCAGTAACAACAACACTCCGCGGACAGAAGCACCGCGTAATCTCTCCGGCATCCACCGAATCACCTGTTGATCCGGCCCAGCAACACTGAAAAGAGAAAAGAAGAAGAGAACAGAGTGCGACTACATCTGGACGCCACAAGACATTGCTTCGTGCCCCCTTGAGGGATTAGGCCTGCTAATCCCCGACCATAGAAATCTCTGTACCGGATTTCTACCCCTTCCACCCACCCCCAGCCCAATGTCCAATGAGACAACGAATTAAACGGAACGAGGAGGAGCAGCCGCTCCGCCACACTGTAACAGCATTGGCAAAGTACGTGAACACACAAACACACGCACACAAACATACACACTTACACAGCAGTTGTGTATCTCAAGCACACAGAGGCCATATGGTGCGTCCTCATCCGCCGACGCCTGTTGCTGCCGTCAACAATAGACCTGCCTGGGCTCACAGCGAGAGGCAAACACACACACGCACACACACAGAATGGTCATTCGTCAGCCAGTCTGCGTTGCTTAGGCCCTGAACAAACTCCTGGATTTGCATTCTGCTCCCCCCCCCCCCCCCCCCTCTCTCTCTCTCTTTCACAGTCACACACACACTTCCCCGGTCTCTACAGGTGCGCGGAGCACTCAAAACAGATGTCAACGGACTGGAGAGGGGAATGGAGGGGGGAGGATGGGAGGCTGTTTGCCCAGTGTGACTGACAAAGGTTTGTACACTTGCCGGCCGAGAAGCAGCAAAGACAATGACACACACACACCTCCTTCCTGTTACACCCACAGCACTACCTGATTGCCACCTAAAAAAATACATTTCAAAATGTTCCATGGTATTAGGAGGAGTGACATCATAGTCGTTCTCGCAGGTGGATTCCCATTTAATCAATATTTCACACAGACGTCAGCTGCCCTCACAAACACACATTTCTTCATGAGGGCATAAAATACTTATTATAATTTTTCTTCTGTTTTGCCCAGATAAATATTTTAGAATATTTTAACACAAATGTCTCACACACTGATTGGTTTGTAGCAGTGACCGACCTGAAATCTTTCAAGAAAATTAATAACCTATTGTTGTTCATTGATTTATCAATTCTAGTCACTTTTAAAGCTTGAAGAGAAAAAATCCGCCACTTAGGGATCCTTAAAACTGTGTAGGAGTTCTGGAGCAAATTATTGAACCATATTTAAGGACATTGCTCCTGTAGATGTAAAAATTATTTTGGAAAATAGTCAGAATTTACTCTTTTCAGATGATTTAACAAACAAGTTGTGTGTTTTCTTTTACACACCAAAACTCACCACTACATCATTATTTGCCTGGATCTTCTCCTCATTAAGGAAACAAATATCTCCATTAGACAACTGCATCAGCCACATCAATTATGTGAGAAATAACTTTGAATTCATATCCGTCCCTCTCACGGTGGCCTTCTGTTACTGGAGTGAAGCAGAGCTGCTACGTTTCAATCTACAGGCTGTGACCCCCCCTCCCCCCCAGACAAGAATTACACCTTGAACATCTCTTGAGCTGCTGTGGTGGTCAGAAACCACATCAATAAATAAACTCAAACTTTACAGTAAATGAGGAGCTCATAAAACCCCCTTGATATAAGCATGTATTTCTTAAAAAGGGGCGCAGTTGGCAGTGTTGTGAGATTGTGTTCTTAAGTAACGTGCATGTTCCCCATGCCTCGGGCTGCCCCTCTGTGTCTGTGCTAAGAAGAAGATGAAGATGAAGAAAGAAAAAAAGCCGCCGATGCAACAAGTCTCTCCATTCACTCACAGTCTTGTTAAACTGTCTCCACGCGGCGGCGGCGACGTGTGCCCGCGCTCACATCTCTGTTGTTCCTCCGCTTCTCGTGTCGGTCAGTCGGTCCCTGAACGCAACCCTGATGGAGAACTACCCGACCGCGCGGGTTCGGTCCGCGAGAGGAAGAAGGCGTGTGTTTGGTGCTGGGAGAAAAAGGAGTAGGTGGATGAAGAAGAGGAGGAGGAGAGGGGTGTGTGTGTGGGGGGGGGGGGGTCAATTCTAGTGAAAGCGACATTCAGCTAGCTCTGGAGGTCGCGCGACGGAGCATTAATGAGCTCAACAGACTTGTTTAACGTTTAGAAGTGCGCATCGTTTTTTTTCCCTTCAAAAGTCATCTCAGGAGACTTCTGCGGTTTTAGCAACAAGCGAAACGTCCGACGGCTGAGTAAGGCAAAGCGAGGGGGGGGGGGTCGAATGGGGCTCTTTGGTAACTTACCTCGAATCATATGCCTCTTTATGGATTAAGTCCCACACTTTTCCACGGATCCAAGTCGCTACGTTGGAAGCACTTCACGCCAACTCCAGGGTCTCCCCTCGCCGCTTTGACGACCCGGGGGGCTCGGTAGAGGGGGGGGGGGGGTGTCGGGAGGCGCCGGTTTGCGTAAAGCGCGCAGCGTCTCTCCCGAAGGATGCGAAATATGCGCGGAATGGGAGCAGGAATGAAATGAACGCGGCGGACTGAGTTGAACGGGGCGGGGTGAAAGGGACTGGCGTCACACTGGATGGATGGAGCGAGGAGTGGGTGAGGGATGGGGAGGGTGGGTGGTGACAGAAGCAGAAAAAAATAAAAACGAAGAGAGGGAGCGCGAGGGGGAAGGGGCCCCAGTGTATGGGCTGCGTTCACAACAACAAAAGAAAAGAGTGCAGCGCAAACTCTCTTCGGGTGGGGGAAGGGTGGGGGGGGGGGGGTCGAGCAGCTGACAACAAATCCATTAAAGACAAAAATAAAAATATATTGACACAATATCTGTGTGCGAGTATTGGTCTGGGTATTTGTCAAGTCACATCAAACCCATAACAATAAAAAAAAAGTTTTCAGGGATGAAAAATAAAAGTAGAAAAAGTCTGATTTTCAATTATCAAAATTCATTTTTTTGACACTTTCGCAATTCTAAAATAAAAAAAAGATTATTCTTACATATCTAAAGGTTTAATTCATAGATGCATTACTTGCTTGGCTTTTCTACAGCCTTACCTGGTGTAATATGACCGTTGAATAAACATCCTTTGCTACTTGTGTCTACTGCCCATATTTTATTATCTATAATTATCTTCTCATGTGTTTATTTCAGTTTATTGTGGTCACAGTGGCTGTTTAGCAAAGGTTACATGGACTAACTCCACACTCAATAATGTGTAAATGTGTGTAACACATATATATATATATATATATATATATATATATATATATATATATATATATATATATATATATGTGTGTGTCACATATACACACTTTAGTGTGTGGGGAGTGTGTGTGTGTCCCCTGCGAAAAAGCGACTGTGACCTCAATAAAGAGAGATACACACATGAGAAAATATATATAGAGAAAAAAATAGGTGCAGCAGACACGAGGGGCGCAATGTGTGTATTTTGCGCGTTTATCTCACCCGAGAGGGCGGAGAAAAAAGCCACGAGCGAGGTGCACCTATAAAAAACACCTCTATATATATGAAAGAATACTTTTTTTTTTTTTTTTATATAGTGCGAGTGTGAA